AACTTTAAAATTGGTCTGAACTAGGGAACTAATTTTAAGGCAGGTCTAAAACAGGGTATTGGTTGTCTTAAATAGGGCATTTAATATTTGGTCAGGACATAAATAGGGTAGGGAAAATCTCAGATTTTGGGCTTAAATAGGGTAAGGGTTTCAGGAAGCGGGCCATACACCCCCACCCAATTTTTCTGTGAGTACCTCCCGGGAGAAGGAAACAGCACAAACACATGCATTGGTGCTTCCATTTTTCTTGTTGCTGAAACACTGTGAACCTCAACCAATCAATAACGATACACTAAACCAAAATAAGAATCGGTATTGTCGCGAACGCCTTGACGCTTTTGTGGAACAACTTTATTTTGTCGAAACAGCTGTATACATATATTTTTATGTTCTGTTTTACGCACTTTCGTTTGCAGGTTGTTAAAAATTAAATGCCTTTGTTATTAAAAGCTTTCCAAGGGCTGGCAAAAGGGTCATTAGAACATGCAGTGTGGAGAAAACCTGAGCTCATCATAGCATTAAACTGCAGTGATGTCATAAACACATAATGATAGGTTATTATATTCGTTATATCGCTGATGACTTCAGTGTAATGTTTCACTGAGAACTCAACTAATATTATCGTTATTAGATGCTGACAAATGCTGCAACTCGAGGGAATATTTATAGTAAGGAACCATGAACATTTGACAAACTGACAAAAATTATCAATGGCTGTTTTTCCATTTCTAGTATCTTGTTTTCCATTCCTAAAGATGTCATTGAATTCACTTGAATACAACCCATTGTAGCCATCTCCGAGAAGCACTACGGACATCATTAACGTAGAAAACACTGTGCGATAAACTAACTCTTTGGTAAAATATTGATAACTTCGTTATCTGAAGAATTACGTCATCAGCCGAAAGCAAGCAATGTCAGTTGAGTCACAAATAACAGAACAGAGCAGAACTAATTCACTTCTTATCTCAAATGTTCCTCATCATTTACTAATATCTTAGCTTGATTTGAATGCAAGAGACTGTGATATATCTCATACAACCCTGAGTAGGAAAGGAAATAATTTAATGAGGGTTCACATTCTTCTAACCCCACCTCCTTCGCCAGCTAACTGCTGGATTGTAACTGGGCCCAATTCACTTTCAGATAAATCTCGCGAAAATATTAAAGAAATCTTAATAGCGTTAGCCAATAAGATTCTATCTCCTATGTCCTTTAAGCTAATTTGTAAACTCATGAATAAATTAGAACGTCACTCATTCGATCACTACTACAGAGTTCAGAGAACCTCGAGAAATTCAGCCAATCATATAACAGGTTATCTAGCGCTTCAGTTTAGAGCATAATGGTAAAATTGGACCACCGGGAATCGAGTTGCTTTGTAGTAATATTTGCGGCGTAATAGTGCAATTTTGCAGCCAAATCAGTCACCACCGCTATTTCGGAAAATCTAGCAGGTGCGGTTCTTGTTAACACAGCAGTGAAAGCTTGCCTTCCGAGGTCACCGAGTTATTCAGTTTGGTCGAAAACTAAAAACCTCAGGGGAAAAATTCTTAAATACGGGGAGAGGGCGGGGGAGAAAAGGGTGTGGGGGAGAGACGGGGGTCTTCTCACGACATCACGAAAATTAGTTTACATTTCACGAATAAAAATTCGGTCCTGATTCTTGGAAAGGCTTCTTTCATGGGGCCATGATACCTCGAATACGACTCAAGAACCACTTGAAATGACTAATTATGTAGTTACATAATGTAGTCCCCTCTACTTAGTTACTTACAAAGAAAACCTCAAAACGGTCCTACAATTATAACCACGTACCTTGGTCACATAGAAAATGCGTCTAAAACACCAAGATGGAGATTTAAAAAGAGGAAAGCAATTGTATTTGGTTTTTAAGCGATCCTCCGAGAAAGGGGAGGAATTTTGGAAAAGTCCCCCAAACTCATGATAGAGGCCCTCTGAGAATGTAGCGAATTTTTACGGTGTAATTTAGAGCGGTTTTCAATTCAGTGTCGTTAAACCAAAACCAAATAGTCACTCTAGCCAATCACAAAGGACACAGGCAATTCAGTGAACCAATCAAAAACTCGAAGTAATTACATGTAGCCGACGCAAAGCGCGGGAAAACGTATGTGAGCGAGTCACGATTGGTTTTGGTTTTACTTCTAATCATAGTTAGTAGAGGGGTCCCCTCTAACTATGTTCTGATTGGCTGAAAAAGTGGCGCGAGTTTTTAGAGCCAATTGTGGTTGATGCAAGTCCACTTAAATAAAAACTGCTCTTTTCAATTTTTGAACCCGAAGTTACCTCGAATTCTTACCAAGCTACCTGGTTTTCACCAAGTTCAAGCCAGAAAATGATAGAGGAAGAGATACAAGCCACACTTCCAAAATACTCTTGTCATTTACTGCTTTAAGTTTAACATCTACATGACAAAAATAGATCAAATGCTTTAAGTCCTAGCTCGCCGAGAACACCAAATTTAAATAGTTCACACTGTTTCTATATTTCTTACTCTAAGAATTGTAAATAACTCAATTTACACAAGGAAATAGGTTCTCAGTAATAGTTTTGGGTTGAGTTATACTGAAATACACCACTATGAGAGGAACTCCTCTTTCCTGTTTCAGGCTCTAGGTTAATACAGATGATCAAACCAGTGGGTTAGGAAATATGGACACCCAGTTGAAATCGACTAAATTTCCACTGTTGAGATCCATACCCAATTTTCGCAGGCCCTATGTTAGTGGCGATGGTAGCAAAAGCAGACACCCCAAGCAAATTTTCACCCTTAGAATGCATATCCGCTAACAGATTTGGACCAGAGGCTCTAAATTTGCCAAAGGGGGAGGCGGGGGGAGGGGTTGCATCCAAATCCACTGTGACAGTGGGCAGTTACAACTTGAGCCAACAATGTCTGTCATAGAAACACATGACTAGATATTCTGATTTCAAAGTAAATTAAAACACTGCAATGCAATCTACATTGTACTTCAAGACTGAATTGAAAACTAACTAATGCTGACTAGTATCAACTTGAGCTACAATGTAACTTTATCTTACTAAGCATTAGTAGCCCTTGAAGTCTGAAGTTATTTTAAGCAACTTTAAGGGAAAGGAAGGGGGGATTTAACATAAGGACTGACAAAGGACCATTTAGTGGTCCCTTTAGTTTAAGGTTACATGTTTCGCAAATCTTAAAACTGCCACTTGAAAGAGTTAAATTTTGTAAGGATTAAAGAATTAATAATAACATCATCTTGTATAAATTGCAAGGTACATATTGTGATCAAGCTTTTCAAATCTCAAAAACAGACTGAGGCAATGAAAGTGATAAGACACAATAGGTGGGGGGGGGGGGGAGGAGACGGGCACATTAGGGAGCCTGAGAGGGGGAAAGGTCGAGAATACATGATTTACACTTTGCCATCAGTGAGTTTTCCTGTAACAGATTTACACCTCTTTGCACTTGGAGGAGAACATGGATCTTCAGGATCCTCAATCAGCTTGTTGTGAACATCCATAAGGCCCTTGAAATACTTCACTGTTCTGACTTTCAGCTCAAGGGTGGCATCATCGTCGACTACAAAAATGGTCTTGGGGTGCTGCTGGAAGGCGGACACTGTGTACATGTGATTGACACCCTCCTCGGTGGCACATCGCAGAGCATAAGCCTTATTTACACCACTGATCAAAATGAGAACCTGAGGAATACGAAATTGTGAAATTAGAGCTGTTTTAACAACATATTTAAAGGGGAAATTACTTTGCCTCCAGAGATCCAAAATTATCTACCTCTCTTTACTAGTTTAAACTAGTTATATTCATATTTAACTTGGCAAACAAAGACATGAAAATTGATGAGCCTTCACCATGTAGGTATTGGGGTAAATGTAACAGAAACAAGTTGAATATTACATCAGATATTTTCTAACAAAAAATCAATACAATTTATTTATTAATCAATCAGGACCCCGTTGATAACAGTACTTTGTACTGAAGGGTTATCCTGAGGAAATATTCTATTATTATTATTATTATTATTATTATTATTATTATTATTATTATTATTATTATTATTATTTTGTACGGGGGTGTGCAGGGTTGTTGCTATGCTGGTGGCAAATTTTGCCAGCTGAGAAAGAGGTGATTGCCAGCTTGATTTTGGCAGGCAATCACTTGGTAAAGGACAATGAACAGTTTTTAGGTCACGCACGTACAATCATTCAATATCTGAACCATATCAAAACCGTCTAAATGAAACGTTTGGAATAAATCCCTGGCTACCTTGAGTATCGGTGCCGCTATAACAAGTAAAGTAATTGAAATAAGATATTGTTTAGAGCACTCGTTTAACATATTCTCTTTCCCTGTACTGCGTCTGCCATCTTGTAAATGCGAAGCTTTGTAGCCCCGCATTCAAGGCGTTGTGAAAGATTGGGGACGGAAATTTTGTTCCAGGTCTCCCGCAAAAAAAAAAATGGTGACTGGCTCAATGAAAATCTGAGCCGCGAGACTATTTTCTTAGCTACAACCCTGGGTGTGACAATTTTTGCTGGAAGTTCCCAAACCAAAACTTTGGTATGAATTATTAAAATCAAGATGTGAACCATGAGATCAGCAGGAATGACAAATCACGGACCTCTCTAGCATCCATCACTGTGCCAACACCAACAGTAAGAGCCATTGTCGGCACTTTGGACAAATCATTTCCAAAGAACCTAGCATTGGCTACAACAGTCTCCTTTGCTAAGGTCTTGACTCGTGTCCGCGACACTAATGATGAGCCAGGTTCATTAAAAGCAATATGACCATCACTTCCAATGCCTGTCAAGATAGAAAATAAATTAAAAAATTAAAAAAAAAACATGTTTGGTTGGTAGAGAAAATTTGACACAGTTGGCACAGTAATGAAACCACATGACAGTCACGAAAAAAAAACAAATTCTGATCATAGCGCAACAAGAATACAAATTTTAAGTTACAGTCTCACTAATACATAGTTACGCCCACACTACCATTATTGCTTAAAACATGAGACTTCTAAGGGTGCATCTCTTTTTGGATGATCTGGATACAAAATCAGTCTGTCATGGTGCAGAACTCATTGGTAAAATCACTCTGCACTTACCTCCGACAAAGAGATCAATTCCCCCAGCCTTAATTATCTTTACTTCAAACTTATCACATTCCTTGACAAGGTCTGGTGCATTTCCATCCAATATGTGAGCATTGCTAGGATCAATGTCAATGTGTTTAAAGAAATTCTCCCACATGAATGAGTGATAGCTTTCTGGGTGGTCACGAGGAAGAGCAACATATTCATCCATGTTAAAAGTCTTGACATACTTAAAAGAAAGCTCTCCCTTGCTGCAGAATTCCACTAGCTTTTTGTACATACCAAGAGGTGTACTTCCTGCAAACAAGTGAAGTCATTTTTAATTCCATAATACTAAGACACATCTGCATTCCTAAAGAACCTTGTTTCAACGCTACTTAAGACATTTACAAGTGAATAGCTGTTTTGAACTTTCTAGAAAACTCTTTTTCAAAATTATAATTCTGTGCATGGTTTGTGGTAAATGCAATTTCATTTAATCAAATTTAATATTTTATAATAAAATATCCCTGTCATAGCCTGTCATCTTAGGCCTTAAAATACTATATCCAATTAAAATATCATGCTTTTTACTGGTGAGGGCTTTTTTTACAGCTGATCATGTAATTGCAGCCCTGGAATTAATTACCAAAGCAACTAGCAAATTACTAGACAAGTGTATTTCAATCAATCAATCAATCAATAATGTTTATTTCTTACTTTAAACTTTATAGATGGAATGGCCTACAGATAGCTAGTACTAATGTCTTTTTTTATTATTACCTGTTGGTAAACCAAGTACAAAATACCTATCAGGTCCTGGATTAAACTTCAGGATTTTGTTTCTCACATACTTGGCTGCCCATTCTGACACCTGGGTATAGTCATCTAAGATTACAAGCCTCATGATGTATTGTTCTATCTGGAGTGTGAATGAACAGTGATAAAGAGTGTTTAAACCAACCTAGGGTGATTTGTACCACCACCACCCCCCCCCCCTTCCATATAAGCTACACATATTGGTATGGGTACAGGAAAATCCAGGTGTGTTTGAGGAGGGGGGGATACAAGCAAGGAAACAAGAGCACACAGGGAGAGGGAGTGTCCAAGAAAGTGCAAAGGAACCCATTTCAAAAACATTAAATTCTGGTACCTCTCAAGAGTTCCACACCATTTTATGTTGTAGTGCCCCCCCCCCTCCCCCCCACCCTTCCAATATATATCTGGCACAACCTCCTGCAGGGCATGACCGCCAGCTAAATACATGCTGATGAATACAGAGTGATAATGGGGCAGAGACAAATTCCTCAGTTTATTTGAGTTACAAAAATGCGGGATTGGGAATTTGTGATATTGCAGCGCAAAGTGACTTCAAATAAACAGAGGCAGAATATTTTAAAAATCCATATGGAAATCCCCACTCCCCGCTTCCTCAAAAAATGGCGGGAGGAGAAGAGGTAAATCTGGCATCCTACGGTCTACTATTGAATTGAATGAAGGCGAACAAGGACGTTGAATGATCATATCAACTAATTCCAAGGAACCAGGGACAAAATTCCATCGATCAGGGCAAATTAAACCAATATCTAAGCTTGCGTTTATCTACCAGCCTCGTGTGTCTCCTGACGGCTCGAACAAACACTGAGAAGAAAACTTGTCTTCCTGACAAATCCCCCACCAGTTTTCTCTGAAAACGGGAGCTCAGCTTATTAGAACCTTTTCCTACAGGATATACCTACCAATTTGGGAAAATGAAGACAAATCCGGGAGAAATTCTGATAAAAATCGGTAAAAAGAGAAAATTACCAGTACCGTCGCTAATGGCCAGCGGCTACAAACATAAAGCGTGCGTGATAATTGGGACTGGGGACGAAAATAAAAATTAACCGCGCTTTTAGTGAAAGACAACATGTCTTTGGGTCGCGCACTGTTATTTCCTATTACTTTCAGCGCAATTGTGGTATTATTTGGGTTCGGATTTTATCACAGATACAAGCTGATCGTCAACCCAGTCGAAAAGGAAGAAAGGAGGAAATATAACATCCAAAAGTCGCTGGAATTTCGTCGGCAAGTTAAAGAGGTCCAAGAAAAACTTGACGAGGATAATTCGAGGCGTTGATTTGATCAAAGATCTGGTATAGTCAATTATTGCTTTTTTATATATATATTTTAAGGGAAAGTTTGTCGTTTTAAGGTGTGCACGTAATTTTGATTATTTTTTACTGGTTGTTTGACAATCGGCCTCAGCTAGTCTTCATGTACTTGACACAAAGTTTCCTTATATGAAAGTGAGAATGAGCATGGGGTGATTGGCATTATGGGCCAACCTATAGCTACAGGTATACATGACGGGTGAAGTGAAAGTTGCACGATCGAAAAGATGCTTGTCGCGTAATAAACGTTCTAAACCTGAGAAATTAACTCAAAATGATCGCAACTCTGATGAAGCTACGTGTACCAGCGGGACATATACAGCTGTCCAATCAAAGCACTCAGCTCTCATACATCCTGATGATGAGAGCACTGACGATACTAGTGGTATTAGCGACAACTGTGTAGAAGTTGCAGGGACTTCTAGAGATCACAAAAATGATGCATATGAATTTTGTGATGATGAAGCCATTGTGGATGAGTCAAGACCTATCAATGAGTCAGGTAATAATAAGCGCAAGAGGATTGACTCTGAAGAACTTGAACCATCAGGCTTTACAAATGTTGTTTCCAAGTTTAAGAGGTCACGCAATGCTTTGAATAACTTGAAACAACCTTCAATATGTTTGGAGAATTGCAAAGATGTCAGTGTGGGATCTAAATGTGGAAGGAACAGAACAGATTTATCTGAAAGGAACAAGAAAGGAACTGTTACCAAAGTTTTGTCCCTGATAGAAACATCTTTGTATCAACTGCACAAAGAAGACATTATCACAGATGATGCATTTTCTACAGTTAATGATCAGAAGCAGAAGCAGAAGCAGAATTCAGAAAATCACAATAAATTGGACAATGTACATGACAGGAAAACTGATGATGATACAAAGCCACAAGATAACAGTGCAGACTGTTCAAGGAACCAAGTTTGTCCTCTATGCAGGTTTAACTTTTTACCAAAAGATGAGATGGACGTGATTAATGAACACGTTAACAGTTGTCTTGACAGAGGCTGTGATAGCAATAACAGAGAAAATGTTTTATCAGATGCAACTTGTGAAAGTATTGGAGAGGATTTGTTTTTCTGTCAACTTTGCCAAAAAGATTTGTCAAGGATGAATTCACAACGCCGCCAACAGCATATAAATCGATGCTGTGATCAGGCTGGTAAAGTAGAAGAAATGCCGCAATTAAGTACAGTTCCATCTCAGCCGCAGTGTCCTATTTGTGGTAAAGGCTTCAAATCTTTAAAGGTGAGTAGTACATAAAAGTTTGGTTTGATTTAACATCAATTTCCCATTTATGTGGCACCTCGTTCTTTGATTACGGTGTATGCATTGTGGAGTGCAGGGGCCTAATGGTTATGCGCTGAACACCAGATTGAGCAATCCAGGTTAGAGCCCTTGCCAGGGTTTTGCTTTGTTCTTGGACAAGGTACCAGAACTCGAAAAAACTTGAATTCCAGCTTGCCTTCAGGAGAAGTACATGTAGCTATAAAATTTTGCTTGCCCTGGGCAAGTCTTAGGTTGCTCTTTTAATGAGTTAGTTGGGAGATGACTTCATTGCCTGATCCCTTGCCCATCGGGCAAGTGAGAGTGAAAAGTTACCTGCCCAGAAGCAGGCTTTTAGCCAGGATTTGAAAAGTGGCCATCCAAAATGTGCTATAGGGCCTGCTCAAATGAACAATAATTTATAAGGCAGCATATGAAAAATAAAACAATTTTCTTTAACAAGTGGCCATCCAAAGGATGCCTAGACACCCATCTGGCTAAAAGCCTGCTCAGAAGGAGAATCTACTTGTCCTGGATGTCCAGACAGCACTTTTTTCAAGTCCTGGGTACTTTACTTTCATAGTGTCTCTCTTCACTGAGGGATATGTAAATACCTTATTGACCAAGTGCAAGGGCTGTACTGGGAGAATATAAGCCAGAGGTTTTGACAGTATGGACCAAGTACAGCAAGGTCCATACAAAAAAGACTGAGCTTGCAAGCTTGGTTGATAAGAGTTTTATTACATGACTGAAAATGTTTATAACTGATAACTGCCAGTCTGTTGATCTTCGCGTCTCGAACATAAAATGAATGCTTCATCAGCATACCAAACCAATCGTGCACAGTATGAGACTCACAGAAGGGAAACATAACTGTTTTAAATAAAGGATTGTTGTTGTTGTTGTAACCTAAATTATGTAATTATGTTAAATCTTCAGTCTCGTCAATCACATCTCAAGAAATGTGCGCAGGAATTTAAAGTGGGCACTACTCAGCTTTTAGAGATTGTAAATCGCGAGAAACAGCAGGAAGAGTCTACTTCTTCAGCTGTCAGCACTGAAGTGAACACAGCATTATCAGCTAGTGTACAGCCTGCTCGAAACTCAACTGGAGTTAACAGAAAGAGAAGAGGTGTCACACATGAATGGTAAGCAGCATTCATCATTCATTCCTTTGTTTGTTTTTTTGTATAACTTTTATTCAGTTATATACTTTATTCAATCAATCATTGAATCATTGATTATTCATAAAAAAACAGGTTATCAATCCTTTCTTCCCTTCTTCTATTATTTATTTGATCCTACTCTCGTTCTTAAAACATATTTTATTATTAGTCTCTTTTGCGACTCATTCAGTCTCAGTGAATCAAAAACTAATTTGTTTATTCATTGATACATTAATCCACCACTTATTCATTTGTTGGTTCATTTGCAGTCACCTGTTAGACTGTTCTTTTGATTTTTTATTTGTTTCATTTCTTCAGTCTTTCAATAATTTACTTATTTATTGTATCATTTGTATCCTTGACAGTTACGCATGAAATGCTGATACAAATAAATAAGACTTTATCAGGGATGTCAAAAGTAGCCTCAGATGGCTGCTCTTCTGGGTTGTGCTTTCAGTTCATTAGAAAAATATTGCAAAATCAACCACTCACTTGAAAACTTTGTGACAACCCTGCTTTCCTCATTTATCTCAGTGACCTTGATGAAGAGACACAGCTTGCTCTGGCATTGTCAGCATCCATGGCCCCACCACTTCCACCTGCCGCACAGATCAGGAAAGGTGCGAGGGGGAAAGGAAAGAAAAATCAGGGGTAAGATGCCACTGTAGGCAACATTAGTTTGTGTTGATAGCATGTTGAAAAAGATTACAGTCAATCGTCTACTAACGAACACCCCTATGCAACAACCACTTTTTTGTCCCAGCGGATGGTCCATGCGATCACTCCTATTTTACCCTCTCTACAATGGCTGCCTCTTTGCAACAGTAATGGCTACCAAAGCAAGTCCCAAACTACCAAAATAACCTCTCTACAACGGCCAGTTAATCAACAACTGATGAATGGTGTATACAAAACCTCAGGTTACCGTATGTAGTTAAAGGTCATGAAATTGATTAGTTCCCCACGTTGTTGGTCTCTGTTTTTTTTTTAATATATATTTTGATTGTGTTAGGTATTTCT